TATACATTCAATGCAATCCCAATCCAGATCTCATCAACATTCATTAAAGACATGGAAAAACCAATTACTAACTTTATATGGAAAGGAAAGAGACCTAGGATAAGCAAAGCACAATTGAAGAAGAACAAAGTAGGAGGTCTCACACTCCCAGATCTCAAAACCTACTATACAGCCACACTAGTCAAAACAGCCTGGTATTGGTACAATGACAGACACATAAACTAGTAGAACAGAATTGAGAACCCAGAAATAGATCCATAGACCTATGATCAGCTGATCTTTGACAAAGGGCCAAAATCCATTCAATGGAAAAGAGATAATCTCTTTCACAAGTGGTGCTGGCAAAACTGGATATCCATTTGCACAAAAATGGAATAAGATCCGTACACAAAAACTTAACTCCAGATGCATCAAAGACTTAAATGTGAAACCTAAAACTATAGAGTTCATCACACAAAAAATAGGGGCAAACTTAGGGGCCCTAATTTATGGCACAAATAGACTGTCAAGCATAACCCAAGATGTACAAACAATAGAAGATAAACTAGATGATTGGGGTCTTCCAATAATTAAATTCTTATGTATATGAAAAGACTTCTCCAAAAGAGTAAAAAGAGAACCTACAGAATGGGAAAAAATATTTGGCAACAACATACTGGACAAAGTGCTTATCTCTAAAATTTATAGAAAACTCCAATACCTCAACATCAAAAAGACAAACAATCTAATTTAAAAATGAGCAGAAAACATGGACAGACACTGCACCAAAAAAGATATTCTGGCAGCTAACAAACACATGAAGAAATGTTCACAATCATTAGCCATTAGAGAGCTGCAAATCAAAACAACCATGAGATACCATCTCACCCCAGCATTAATAGCAAAGTTCAACAAGATAGAAAATAATAAATGCTGGTGAAGATGTAGAGAGATTGGGACTGTTATATATTGTTGGTGGGACTATAAAATGATACTACCACTGTGGAGATCAGTATGGTGATTCCTTAAAAAGTTGGAAATAGAAATACCATTTGATCCAGCAATCCATTACTAGGTATATATCCTAAAGAAGTGAGAGGCAGGACACGTATGGATACATGCACACTCATGTTCATCACAGCACTATTCACAATAACAAAGAGATGGAAACCACCTAAGTGCCTATCTACAAAAGAATGGATAACAAAACTATGGTACATACACACAGTGGAATAATGTTGTTGTTGTTGTTACGTGCCGTCGAGTCAGACCCGACTCATAGCGACCCCTCCTTGGGTTTCCGAGGCAGTTATCACTACGGAAGTAGATTGCCCCATCTTCCTTCTGAGGAGTGGCT